AATGACTCTTTCTTTCACTTCTTATTTTAAAGCAGGGAACTGTGATTTGTAAAGGTACTGCCACCTTCCATATATGCTGATCATTCTTCTCCCATAGGGGCTGCGGATTATTTTTTCAGATGCTTCCAGGCTTATCTTCAGAATGAGTGCTTCTAGCCATGTGAGAGCTACTCTCCGGATCTACGCAGAGAGCTATGAAAAGGATCCTAGCCAACACAATAAGGAACCACAGGTAATGCAATAGAATTGTAATAAGTCAATAAGTAATGCACTTCCTCTGCAATAGCAATGACTACAGGTTTTCATCTTTAATCAGAAGGAACACTCAGCACTTTGATCCCTGTTTACTGTGTTTGTGCATGATTTTCCTAATCATGTGACTGTACATGTTTTGAGGCAGGACCAGCAGATTTAATGTGTGTTTGTGTAATATCTAACACAACAGGAATGTCAAGGGCTGAGAAGCCTGGTGATAAATGCTGGGCAATGACTTTTAGTCTATTAAGAGAAGCCATGCTACTTTTAAATTTTCACTCATTTTTTTTTCAAATGTTGTAATCTGAGTTATAGAACAACAGTAAAAAAAAGATAATTCTTTTTCAAGCAACTTATTTGGGGATCACTTAGTTACAGCATCCCAGGGATTCCTCACTATGAGAGTACAGTTAGGAAATTGCATGCCAGAGTCTAAACAATGTAGGGATTCCTTGTAAGGGAAAGACTTGCAGCTGTCTGAGAATTATCTTGTATCATAACCAGACTCTTTCCTAGGAAGAGTAAAGGTTGAAAGCAAGTTGCAGTATAGTCCAGCAGATGCATAAAACGATTCGTAATATAAATCACATTTTGAACTCTCAGATTTTTCGCAGTAAAACACCTTCATGCTGTGATACACAACAAGAGAGGACTAAGGATGTTTCATGGAAGAGAGGATAAGCATTTGGCTTGTCGTAAATCAAAACCCTGTAGTTTGAAGTCCCATGTAGTTGTGTATTCATGACTGGAATGTAAATGCAAATTTCCCAAAACATAAAAGCTGACAAATGCATTTGAACCCTAGGTAAATGTTTGGCATTGTTTTTTCACCAGATTCCCACCATAAATTTAGCGAGTTTCTTCTTACGCTGTTCAACAATTGTCTATCAGTCATGAAAAGTGCTTCAGTTTTTCCAGAAATGTTGCAGACTCCATTCCTGCAGATATGATCTATTGATTTTATTTGCTTTTTCTTAAAGTAATAGTTTGCATCCTCAGTAACTCCTTGGATAGAATACTTATAATGTTAAGCCTCCAACAGAGTAAAGGACTGTTTTTTAGCAATTTTATTCTTTTTCTGTGCATCTGGGTTTAGCCAGCTAGCAGGGTCATAAATGTATTTTGACCAAGGAAGAACACTGCTACAACTCCATTCTCAGTTGCTACTGTATTGGGTTTATTTGGCAAGGTTTTGGTGGCAGTGGGGCTGGAGGGGTTGCTTCTGTGAGAAGACACCAGAAGCTGCCCCCATGTCGAACAAAGCGAGTTCCATTTGGCTCTTAGATGGACCCACCACTGGCCAAAGCTGAGCCAATCAGCAATGCTCATAGCCCCTCTGTGATAACATACTTAAGAAGGGTAAAAAACGCATGCAGCAGCAGCAGGGAGGGAGGAATGAGAATAAGTGGGAGAAACAACTATGCAGACACCAATGTCAGTGAAGAATGGAGGGGGAGTGATAGAGCGGCTTGGTGGGCACCTGGCAGCCAGCCAAGGTCAATGCACCAGAGCTATGTCAACTTCTGTTACAGCACAAATTGTTTATCAGTTGCAATTAAGCTGACCATTTTAAATATGGTTCTCTGTGCCATGTAGGCAAGGCATAGATGAAAGGAAAATAAGTCATGGTAAGAGACAGACTAAGAGTTCGTTTTAGAGGTTTGCAGCGGACTTACAGTAACCTTGTGATATGTGACACAAAAATTGTGATCTGAACATGGTTCCTGTCTAACAAATCCCCCCCCCAAAATACTAGAAAACAATAGAGCATATACTTGCAGCATTCATCTAGCTAAACTTTTGACTATTTAATTACAAATGAGAACATGCCATTTCAAAATAGAATCCTTTTTGCATCAACGGATTGTTCTACTTGTTACAAGGTATGCAACATGAGAGAAATGACATGCTGGCAGAGTTTAGCCTTTTGTGTCTCCTAAAGTAAGCTACGATCAATGCGCAGTATTTAACACTTGTTTTTTTAAATGAGTGGAAAATAGCAAATGTTCTCAGTGAATCTTCCACTTGTGAACAGACTAGATTGAGGGAGCAGAGGCTATCCTCAGAAAATGAGGAATGTGCTGCCCTACTGTTACATTTCATCTCTGTTTTGCATGGATTTGCTTGAGAGAGGTGCATAAAGTCCACTGCAAGGTCTAGTGACCTCACCAGCAACACAGACTGTGTCCAGGGAGCAGCAAGAACAGGGCTGCTGCACAAGGTGATAGGAGCCAGGCACCCAGAGCAGCGACAGTGCAGGCAGTGCCCACAGCAGGGAAGTGGAGCAGGCAGAGCAAGGCTCTGGTAACAAGCTTCATTGACCATCCCAGACAAGGTAAGTGATGGGTCAGGTTCAGGGTCCGTCTGGAGCCGCAGGAGATGGGACCAGAGACAGGGCTGGAGACAAGGCAACAGTGTGGGTCCATCCATGAGACAGGGTCAAAGTCAGAGCTGGAGGCAAGCTATGATGTGCATCCAAGGAGTCCTTCAGGAGAGAAGCTACCTATAGCACAGGTCTGAGGTCCACCCAGGCAGCAGAGCCAGACATGAGTCTGGAGACAAGCACTCCTACCGCATAGCTCAGCCAGGGACTAACACCCCTAGGGTAGGCTGAAATGGGCTGTGTGAGCCCATGGGCAGGGTGCAGCAGGGGATCCTCAGTGGAGACTGGGCAGGGCCAGTAGGGCTTATCACTGCCTCAGGGCTTTCAGAGTCTGGTCTTTTATTCTAGACACCAAAAGGGTGTGTTACTCCTAGGGACAGAAAAAAAAGCTGGAAGATTTTTTTCTATACATGTACCAGAGCCTGTCAGATTGTTACATTTTTGGCTGTTTATCCAGGATATTCACTGGTGAACAGATAATACCAGGAGTGGAAAAATCATTGCCTTGAAACTTGTGGCAGTGACTTTCCTGCATTCATGCAGTGCAAACAGCCATTTTAATATCCAGACTGCCTCAGGAAATACATAGTACTGTAAATACCCTCCTCATCTCTTGCCACGTGCACAAAATCTGGGACAAAGAGCAGTTTCATCTTGATTAATGCAATAAATTCCTTCTTTGGTTTCTCATTGTATAGTATTGCCCAGTTCCTACTGCTCCTCTTTCCTTGCCCTGGCTGGATACATTGCCAACAACATGAGGGCATTAGGACCTGCAAGGTCATAGATTGTATCCCACAGGCAGATGGTGGATTTCAAGGGAGTACATAAATTTGATTTCAGGAGATCCTCATGTTAGTACAAAAATAACTAACAATTTCTCAGGAGCACATTAGATAACCTTCAGTGGAATATGGAGAAGGGTGTGAATAGCAAACTCCTTTTTCAGAAAACAGCATTGCTGGGGAGGGGTGATAGTTTTCCTGCTATTGTAATTCCTTTATTGCTTAGTTTGCTTTGAGATTCATACTGACACGTGTATGTCTAGAAGAACTGTGACAGATTTGTTTCCTATTTGCTTTCCATAATAGGCGCATAGTCAAGATATTCATAAGTGACCAGTTATTCAAAGAGCACTGACATAAAGAAGTATGTAAAGTATATGCCTTATATAGTATTTAAGGAAATTGTTATATTTGGGATAAATGCTTATTTTTCTTTAAGTGTAATTGATCTTTGTAATTGGGTAGATGACTACATGTAGCTTCTGTGTCATTGCACTCTGCGTGGAACAGCTGATCAGGAAAAACTCTCTTCCATACTTTTTATACGATAAACCAAGACACAAAGTATTTGACGATTGGCTGCTTAAGTAGATGCTTCGTTGCTTCTGCTCATTGGACCACCTCCTTCCAGTACCTTCTTTTCATTGTTTACATAAACAAGTGGAAGATGAATGCTTTGCATTGCTCCATGTTTTTTCCTGGTGACAATTCCAGTCAATACCTGAAACAAAAGGCAAAACTACCTTGAGGCATCCTTTTGGCTCTTTTTCACAAGAAATAAATTTCTGTGTCTTAATAGACAACTCATTTATATTGGAAGTTACAGTGCCATTTTGTGGAATCATTGTGGTAACTAGCTTGAGTTTGCCTCCTATCAGCATCCCTTTTTTTTCCCCTTTCCTTTCAGACAAAGCCTCTTCCAAAATTAATCAGCCAACTTTTCAGCAGTTTTCAAGTTTTTCTAATTTGCTTCTATTCTCTTTGACAGTGTAACTGCTGATGGTGAATCTTCCACAGATAAGCAGAAATCTAAACTACACCTTCCAATATGCATGCTGAAACATGCATATTGTCCTGAAACACCAGTATGACATTGGGGCACTTTTTGAGTTAAGCTTTAACTGAGACATATTGTAAAGACAATATATACAAGTACATTTCTTCTACAAACAACTGTTCACTTGAAATGGACAGAATTAATCATTCGCATTAGAGGTGCTATACTTCTGTGGATGACCATAACTCCTTTTCCACAAAAGGTTGGACCAGATGATCTTTCAAGGTCCCTTTCAACCTGGGCTGTTCTATGATGAAACCTTGTCCAGAATAAAATTTGGACAAAGATCTGTAACAGTGCTCAATTTCATCCAGGTTCAACTACTGTGAGAGTGCTAGCTGTAGGCCCTACTTTGATTTGATACCCAACAGAAAGCCTGACATACTTTGAAGCACTGTTGGGGCTGCTCAAAGCTGTGCCTTTTAATTTTGGCCCAAGGGAGCCATTCGAGTGAGTGGTGCTCAAGTGAAGATCTCCTCATACTTTGTTGTGCTTCAGTGCTGTGTAACTCTGCATGAGTCTTACGGGAAGAGCTGATTTTCAGGCCTTATTGCCTTTAAGTATGTATTCTTATTCAGAAACATTAGAGCTTCCGTAAGAGCATTCTTGTAAGCAGACAGAAGCAAGGCTCATAAGGACCTTTTGTTCCAATTTATATGTAGGCCAAACAGTAGCTACTCATGACTGTAAGGGTCACCCAAATCTTGTTTTAGTAGCGTCTTTCATACAATTAATTGGTAATACTTTCCACA